TCTTTCAGGATCTGCATTAATTTGGTCCAGTTTACCCGGTCAAATGCCTTCTGCCAGTCTATGAAGCAAACACACAGTTCTTCATCTATCTCCAAAGTTCGTTCCGCTATAATTCTCATCATCCCAATTGCATCCCTGGTTCCTTTTCCTCTTCTAAATCCAAACTGATCTTCTCCAAGTACATCCTCTATTTTCCTTTCAATTCTTCTTTTAAGTATCTTTGCTATTATCTTTGCTGTATGTGCAATAAGACTTATTGTGCGATGGTCGCTGCATTTTGTAGCTTTTGTCTTTTTCTTTAAGGCAATCATTGTAACTTCTGTAAAGTCCTTGGGCCACTCTCCACTTTCATATATGGTGTTCATTAGTTTTGTCAGTGTTTTCAAACCACCTTCTCCCAGTAACTTGAGCACATCTCCAGGTACATCATCATCTCCTGTAGCCTTTCCCTTCCTCATTTCCTTGATAGCTTTTTCCACCTCACTTTGTAAAATATATGGTCCTTTCTCGTCTGTATCTACTTCTTCTTCCGGTTCAACTTCTAAGGTTTCTGGCCGATTAGGTCGATCATATAGTTCTGAAATATAATTTTCCCAAATTTTCAGCACTTGCCTCTGATCTACTATTCTATTCCCCTGGGAGTCTTCGATGCCAACATTTTGAATCCCATGATTCTCTTTCCATCCTAGTTCTTTTGTCTTCATGTACATCAAATCATAACGGCCTGTTCTTTGAAATTCCATAATCTCATTACATATCTTCTCAAGATATTCCTTTTTGGCCCTGTCCGTGGCTCTTTTCAATTCATTCCTCAGTCTCCTGTATTTCCTCCTGCCTTCTTCATTGTTGACATTCTTCCATTTCCTTCGCTCCTCCATTTTACTCATCATCTCCTGTGTAACCCATGGTTTTCTTGCTATCTTCTCAACTTTACCTACCAAATCACTGATAGTATCTAACATGCATTCTTTTATATCGTTCCACTGCGCTTCAGCATTTCCGCTTTCACCTTCAATTGCACCGAGTTTCTCTTCTAGAGTCTCTTGCACGCTTTGTCTTTGAGCATATAACTTCTCCAAATCCCATCTGGGTCTGCGCTTTCGAAATCCTATAATTTTCTTCAACCTGGTTCGGAACTTGGCAACCAGCAAGTTGTGGTCAGAGTCAATGTCTGCCCCAGGAAGCGTCTTCACATCCTTCACACTGTTTCTGAATCGATGTTTCACAAGGATGTAGTCCAGCTGATGCCTCTTCCAATCCCCAGGTGCCTTCCATGTGTAAATTCTTCTCTTTGGCTTCTTGAACCAAGTGTTGGTAACAATCAATCCATTTCGTTCACAAAAGTCAATAAGCATTTGACCTCTGTGATTCCGTCTTCCTAGTCCATGTGATCCAACAATATTCTGATATGGTTCATCTCCAACAATGCTGTTCCAGTCTCCCAATATGATGCTGTTTGTGTCTCCTCTTCCATCTTCCTGAAGAATTTCTTCAATTGTGTCATACACTTTTTCCACTTCATCATCTTCATACTCTGATGTTGGCATGTACACTTGTATAATCAGTATATCTACCGGTTCCGCCTTTAACTTCAGAGCAATAATTCTGTCATTACAAGCAATCTTCTTAACAACACTCCTCACTACACTTTTATGCACCACTATTGCCACACCTCTTTCAGCCCGTTCACCTCCGGAATAATACACTGTATAATCACCGCTTCTTATTTCACCTTGTCCTTTCCACCGCACTTCGCTGACACCTAGAACAGACACTTCATTCTTCTGCATTTCCGTTTTCAAATTCTCCAATTTTCCTGCTTGATTCAAGGTCCTGACATTCCATGTTCCAATCTTGTATCCATGCTGTTTCTTCTGATCTTCGCACTTTTTCTTGTTGTAACGCCTGCATGACATTTCCTCTAGAAACACTCCCCCCCGGAGATCCGATTGGGGGAGTAGTTTACCTCCGGATTGTTTTGCCTCCAGAGGAAACATCTCGCATATATGGTATCTCTGTTTTTGGAAAGAGACTATCCAGGAAAAGTGATAATGTGGTAGTTTTTCCATTTGCTTTCCACATCGCAGTACAACAGCCGTTCAAACCACTCTGGTCACGCCTGTTGCTATACGAACTTGAACCATCTCGAGCATCATTTGCTCTGTGCTTCAAGTCGCTACTGATGACGCTGCTTCCGGCATCAGTTTTTGGTGTCTCTCTTCGTCTGATGCCTACCCTTTGACCTGTCCAGCAAGGGAGGCCCTGCCAGTAGCTACGCTACCGCTGGTATAGCTCTCAGGGTCCTTGGCATACTCAAACCCCCTCACCACGATAAGGTGGAGACACCAAATAAACACATGAAGAATAAATTAAATATGTTTATGTTTTTTAGAATGGGCTGCTGGGGGGAATATTTGGATCTAAAATAACAATAAAAAGGACACCTGTGCTTCTGAATTTGTAGTCTTTAGTTCGTATCTCTATAATTAAATCAATATTGGCGCATAGGACAAGACTGGAGAAGGGGGGGGTGTTACATCAGTGACGGGAAATACGGGATTTGGGGGTCGAGATATGTGCATAATGTTCGTCGGGAAACCTCATTTACAGAAGAATTCAGAAGATTAAAATGAGGACTGAAAGATAATATTAATAATAAGTTCTGGGAAGAGCTAATCGCCAGCTTTCCTTTGCTACGACACGGACCGCATAGAAGACCACACGTTCCAACAATTCTTATAGTGTTGCTTCTATTTATTGCCGCTGGAACATTTTTACCGAGCCATTGCCTAGCAACAATAGGGAATACACGTACTGACACACAGACTTGTGGGAGGGATTTATGAAGTACTCCTTTGAGATGAGCTGAGCTCAGTTGCTGTGATATTACATACCAAGTTCCGTAAAGATTGATTCAGGCATTCAGAAACTAATAGGATGATATATAGTCACACAGACAGCATGATGATCGCATAAGCTTACTTTAGGAAAATAGGCTAAGGGTAAATCAGGACAACGCTCAAAGCAAGCTAAATGCATGTGTCAGAGTCAAAATGACTTTATGACTGGCTGTTTACCGCCAGTCATCTCCTCTTGACGCCGCTTCCTTTAGGCTCAGGACCAGAATTTATTTTTTCTTCAACTGAACCCTTAGGAAAATAGTCCTTATGTAACATCCTCTCTGACGAGAGGGTGGGTTCGTCTCTTATGAACAGGTGGACGTATCGCACATATAGCATAGGTCTACACCCCCCCAGGGGGGGGGGAAGGGCTTGAAAGGGGGGCGCAGCATACTTTCCTACAGATAAAAATTAAAACTGCCCTAAATCAATTAGAAAAGTAACAAAAAATTATAATACATATAGAAAAACTTTCTATGAGTACAGGCTTTAATTATCATGAATATCAAAATAACTAATAATTATTCTCTTTACCGACAATTATAAAACGCGTATGACAGAGACAGCGTTGATAGTTCGGCAGCAGCCGCATCCTCTGAAATCCTCTGAAGTCTAGACTTTTTAAAATGCTGTGTCAGGAAATGGGTGCCGAACACACTGCTCTGTTGTTTTTTAGTGATGCTCGATGGCTTTCAAGAGGCAAGGTATTAAAGAGAATGTTTAAGCTGACGCATGAGGTGTTCTGTTTTTTAAATGGGGAAAATCACTCACTGGCAGACAGTTTCAACAACAAGGATTTTTTATTGAAAATGGCTTACCTAACAGATATATTTGAGAAACTAAATATCCTCAACACTTCACTTAAAGGGAATGAGGCAACTGTACTTTCTTGGAATGACAAAATGAAGGAATTCATGAGAAAATTAGAGCTCTGGAGAAACAGTATGAAAAGTGACACGCTAGACAAGTTCCCCACTCTGGTGTCAATGGTGCAAGACACTGATAATCCAATGGTTCCAATGGACATAAAAAGCTGCCTACTTGATCATCTCATAATGTCGAAAGTTCATTTCGAGAAACACTTTTGCAGTGATTTTGATGAATTTAATTGGATTAAAAATTCATTAAAAATGCTCCTGGGCCATCATCTCTTGATGTAAATAAGCAAGAACAACAAGAACAACTGTCTTTGTTGGAGTTCTGGATAGGTATTGGCAAGGAATTCCCAACTTTGAGCCAAAAGGCATTGAAGATCCTGATTCCTTTCGCAACAGCTTACTTATGCGAGACAGGCTTTTCTGCTATGGCAGCTATAGTGTCAAAGTATCGTTCAAGGCTAAATATTGCTAAAGAAGTTAGAGTGGCCATTTTGATATTACACCACGTTTTGATAAACTTTGTTCTCAAAAGCAGGCCCATCCATCACACTGAACTTTGACATTTAAATGTTTGATTTTCTTTTGCAGAAAAAAATTAAATACTTGTTAGTTAAATATCGTTTCATTTCAATACATATTTTGGTTAACTGCAAGTGTTAAAAGTAATTTTTATTGTAGGCCTAATATTGTGATGCTTTAATTTTGAGTAAAAAACTGCTAAATAGTATGTAGAAAAACACAAAATGAACTGAATAAAAGGTCAAACATACCATGACTTCTATTTTGATAAAAAAACAGGTTGGGGGCCCTGAGCGTATTTTCTCTTCTTAGGGGGGGCTCAGAGTTAAAAAGTTCGAGAACCACTGGTCTACACGGTTATGGGGAATGCGTTTTCTTTCCGGGAATCTGTCCGTCCAATTAAGTGATAATTTGGAATAAAGAACCTCTTGTGGGGTTTGAGATGTGTCTCTGAGACTAGAACCACGTGTGTAGTAAGTCTTGCAGCTGTTTACTGAGCTCACAGCGCTGCTATGACTTCGAGCGAAGCAGCCAGTTTATTTCAGTACTGCATATGACGAGCGGCTATGCAGAAGTCAACCACGATTTCTAATATGCCGAATGCCGGTGAAGGTAGGGATGTCAGGACGTAGCGAGACAAGTGCATTGAAACACCAGCCTGCCTTCACTGTCGACCCGATTAAAGGCAGTTTGTTTGTCGCAGAAGTTTCGGGGCGAAGTGCTCCAAGTGCTGCCGGGGCATCTCCGCAAGTGACTGGGTGCGCAAAGCTCGGGACCACGTGTATCACTTGGCCTGCTTCGCGTGTGACTCCTGCAAGAGACAACTCAGTACGGGGGAAGAGTTTGCATTGCACGAGGACCGCGTACTCTGCAAGGCGCACTACCTCGAGATCCTGGACGGAGGCAGTACCTCCTCGGACGGTGAGTGTATCGTGCCTATTCTGTGAGTATTCAATATTCTTTTGTTTCAGTACCTTAAGTGTGTTAGACCTGTACTACAAATAAAGATTGACTGTTTGTGTATGTTACTTGGTGGAGACGATGCTAAATAACGGCCTCGATGTATCAGTCAGTGACATGCAGTACTGGGAAGGAATAAGGACACGCGGTAGCATTGTTGGTTGAGGCACTATGCTACAAGCCGGAAGGTCGAGGGATCGAATCCGATGAGGTGGAATTTTTAAAATTGACCTAATCCTTCCCGCCGCACTATGGCCCTGGGGTCGACTCAGGCTCTAACAGTAATGAGTACCAGGAATCTTCCTGTGGGGTAAAGGGCGGCCTGTATATAAGGCTGACAACCTTACCGCCATCTGTGAGCTGATTGTCTAGAAAACGTGGGAGCCTCGACGTCTCACAACTCTATGGGCCTCCACTGCCTGTTACAGGGATAGCTTTACCTTTACTTAATGGAAAGGAATACGGGAGAAAGTAAGAGAAGTTGATAATTAGGCAAAGGCAAAGGATAGTTATCTTTGTAACAGGCCGTGAAGGCCCATAGGGTTGTGAGACGTCGAGGCTCCCACGTTTTCTAGACAATCGGCTCACACATGGCGTTAAGGTTGTCAGCCTTACGCTCCGGAAGGATTAGTTAAATTGAAAAATCCAATCGAACCTGCGACCTTTCCGGCTTGTACCATATGAAAGCTTATATAAGAAATGTCGAGACTTCACCTTGAATTATCAACGGCTGTTTCAGTGAGTTTCCTTAGTTCTACCAGCTCTCTCTCTCTCTTGTTCCACATTTTCTCATGAACGCTCTGTTTGTAACTACCTTTTATGTAGGTTTCTCTCTCGGAGTGACAGACCATGTTTCATACTCACAGGCCCATTAGTGAAAGGTAAATACGGATTATAATCATAGTTAAAATAATACGAGAAAGAATCGAGGTTCACATAGGCCTGTACGGAACTAGCGGAAGGCACAGCTGAAGCATTTGAACTGAACAACTAAAAACCAAGAATCTATAGATAGTTTATCGATATAAAACAATCGAGAAAGATGACTCAAGCGATAAAGCGTGTGATTTGTATTTCGGGAGGTTTTCGTTTCGAATCTCGAACAGGTCATCGACTATTTTGATTAAAGTTTATCGTGGTTTCTCTAAGTCTCTCCAGGAAATTTCCGGGATAGTACATCAAATTACATCACGATTGCTTCCTGCCAAATCCCTTCCAATTCATTATTTCTGAATGATCATTCACCGCTATATAGTCTGAACTCCTGACAGCGTTATTAAATACGAAATAAATAAGCAAAAACCAAAGTGCGTAAATAAAACAGACCTCACAGAAAGATGGAATATTTTTCAGTCTTGTAAATGTGAACAGGTCAAGAATTTAACCTATGAAGCTGGTGATTGATTGCTTGATTGATTTTACGAACAAGTTACTAACTAACCAACCGATTAACTAGCTCAACAGGGCAGAATCTTTCTTGGAAAGCTAATGGTCGCTCAGCTACTCAACCTCCTCTTTTATAGAACCCGAATTTCATTACAACTCTCAAGAAATACCGCCACTAAACCCTTTCCAGAGCCACTTAACCAAATCCACACGCCCAGACTCTTCACTCAAGATCCATTTTAGTATTACCTTCCTTTCTACGCCAACTTTTTAAAGATATCTCTTCCTTTCCCATTTCCCAACCACAATTCTCTACTAACTTGTGACCACTCCCATGCATGCTACATGCCACGCCTATCTCACCCTCTCCCCCCCCTGGGCTTTCTTATCTATCTAGTAATATTTGGAGAAGAGTGAAAATGGAACATACGTAATAAGTTAATAATTGCAACATTAAATGTATTTAATTTTGATGATGTGTATTTCATATAAAATGTCTACTATGCCTTTGAACCATAATGGTTGCTGCATTTGCATTACCATTAGAAAAAACTCCGTGTTTTGTCCACAGACTCTTACTTATTTTCGCGTTTAAAATGGTTCTCAGAATACAAACTCTTACTTCCCTAACCTGCACTGTTTAGTTTTAAAAGTGGAGAGGTTGCGTGTTTCCTGTGAGGTAGGAACCGACTTTTTATACACTTCTTCGGGAGTGTTCGTGTTTCAAAGCGTTAATAAAATTTCTCTCTTCCCATGTAGCACTTCTGGCCTGCGTCTTGCTCACTGTCAGCTGAAATAGTCATTTTGTTTAAGTCTACAAAAAGCTAACATCTTTAGGATAAGAAACTCAGCTTTTCAATTGTCTCCATGGTTCGTCATAATCCACTGGAACTAGGTTATAATTTTCTTTTATTGCTAGTGGGGTGGGACTAAGTCCCTCGTACTGCGGCCACTTCTGGCCTATTGTACCAGCCCCAGATGATAGGTGAGGGTGATTGTGGAGCAATTGGTGGAATGAAGATTGGCAGGGGAAACCGAAGTACTCGGAGAAAACCTGCCACAGCGCCACTTTATCCACCACAAATCCCACATGACCGGACCCGGGATCGAACCGGGACCACCGCGGTGGGAAGCCAGCGACTAACCGCTTGAGGTATGGCGCTGGGTTATAATTATTTTCTATCTATATATCTATCTATCTGCCTGTCTGTCTCTCTATCTATCTATCTGTCTGTCTCTCTATCTATCTGTCTGTCTGTCTCTCTGTCTGTCTATCTATCTATCTATCTATCTATCTATCTGTCTGTCTCTCTCTCTATGTCTACCTACATTTGGCGCTACAGCCCTTTGGTGGACCTTGGCCTTTTTCACTTTCTCAATCCTATACACAGACGGAAGTACTCCATGGACGGGGGATCAGCCCATCGCAAGGCCGCTACCTACACACAGAACAACACAAACACAGAATAAACGCAAACAGACACTCATGTCTGGAGTAGAATTCGAACCCACGATCCCAGACTATTCGTGCCTTATACCGCGCGGCTGGCCGCTGTGATCCGCCGAATTCTTTTCAGAACGCGATAAATATTGAAGTTTGTAGCCGTCGGTTTCCTTGCAGCCAGACAGGAGCCTCGGGACTGCACACACGCGGCCAGCGTCTAGTCGTATCATATCGATGCTCAAGCAGTGTCAGAGATGGAACAGAACCCACGCCCTCTCTGTAACCTCTCGAAGGAAACATTTTGAATATCACTAATGTTGTTACTTGCCGGCGTGCAAAGGAGCTACACTCGGTAATGAGTTTGACCCTGCCCCGTGCGTCTTCCCCTCATCAGAGCAATCGATGGCAGCGCCTCCCCTCGGGGCCCTCGGGGCTAAGGGTAATCACGCGCAAGAACTCCCTCGTGCTGTTTACTACGTGTGAAATCGGCAGAAAATTGATTTGTTCCTATCTGCAATGCAAATTGCAGCGCAACGAGGAGAAATTCCCGTAATTTGGGAATCCACCGCCAAATTCGAAATACCGAAATGATATTCAAATTTGAGTCAGCAAAGGCGCATTGAAATGGAAATACATGGATATATTCATGCCTCTTGCATAGGTTGGGGCTCAGCGCCTCACACACGCACACACACACGCGGGGGGGGGAGAGAGAAGTCTCTAGACCCAGTCCCGAGGTCGACGCTTGGGGATTTGAAGGAATTTCAGAACAAGACATGCAGAACTTGGAGGTAACGTCACACGAATTATAGAATTCTGTACTGTATTGCTCATAATCACGCTCCGGCCGTTTCGCCTATACTGCGGATACTCATATTCTATTCTCTTGGACACGACTGGCTACGGGCCGGACGACCGAGGGGTCGGAGTTCGAATCCCGGTAGCGGAAATTTTTTTTTCTACATGTCGTCGAGACCGACTCTAAGGTTCACCCAGCCTCCTATCCAATGGGTATGGAGGCTCTTTCCCCCGGGTTAAAGCGGCAGAAGCCTGAAGCTGACCATTCACTTCCAACTAATGGCTAGGTTTGTCTGTTAGCAGCAGTGTTCCAATGATATGGGCCTCAATAGAATTTGCCCTGCAACTTTCAGTGTGCAGTCCTCTTTCTTGAAGATCTTACTTCGTTAAAATCCTTTCACTCTGGACCAAGTTACTGCACGAAGGCGACAGACTGCCATACTGTCACCTAGTAAATGTGTCTCTAGACGGGGTTTGAATTGGTGACTATATTTATTAATCGCTTACAGGCCGTAACTACAAATAACTACAACACTATCACTATTTCCACACTTTACAGTTCACTAGAGCACAGTCTAGTGTTCTCACAAGACATTTCCTGGTAACGGCTCCAAAAATAGTTATTCCTCTGTCTCCGGCCTCAAGTCCTCTCTTCACAGGCTCACCTGACTTTTTCCCTTGCTCGTAACATCTTGGCACGAACCACGTAGAAAACACAGCTATTCCGTTGTTGTAGTCCAGTTGTTGCATTATTAAGAATCTGTTGCCTAGCAACCGGAACGCGTTTATTGAGCTGTTTCCCAGAAATGTCTCTAGTATATCCGCCAATCTCGCTGTCGTTGCTTAGCAACGGTTCTACACCCTACAATATGTAGTATAGGAAATAAATGATAAATTCATACAGGAGTACCTGAAAGGAAAACTCCACTTGGTAGATCTTAGCATAGATGGCAAGATAGATTTTAATAATAAAATTAATCTTCAAGCTACATGAAGGGTGTGGATTGGATTCGTCTGGCTCGACTAAGGCCCAGTGACGTTCTGTTGTGAACTTGATATTGAACCTTACGTTTCCATAAATGGCGGGCAGATTGTTGAATAGCTAAGCGACTATCAGTTTCTCAAGGAGGACTGTGCTGCATCTAAGCATCAGCAGAGATGAAACAAGAAGTAAGCATCAGCAGAGGTGAAACAAGAAGTAAGCATCAGCAGAGATGAAACAAAAAGTAAGCATCAGCAGAGGTGAAACAAAAAGTAAGCATCAGCAGAGGTGAAACAAAAAGTAAGCATCAGCAGAGGTGAAACAAAAAGTAAGCATCAGCAGAGGTGAAACAAAAAGTAAGCATCAGCAGAGGTGAAACAAAAAGTAAGCATCAGCAGAGGTGAAACAAACAGTAAGCATCAGCTGTGTTTTCCTCCGTGCGAAAAGAAAATTTCCTCTCTGCAACGACGTACCAAGTCATAGATAAAGACATCTGAACTTAAATTCCCAGGATCTGTTATGGTGCTGCGTCACTGTCACGCACATGAGGAAGCTGAGTATACCCATGGATCAATGGTGAAGTAATCATTAGCAAAAAGAGAATCACACAGACATACAAACAAAGGAAAGCGGCAATACTGTGCTCTATTGAGACTTTGCTCATCACGAACGTCACAGAAATTGTCTGGGAGTGAACTAGGGCCTCTAGAGTGAGAATCCACTGCTTAATCGCCTCACATATTCATCTCCAATCTCTTCCATTCTGGTATTTAGGTCCAAGATCCAACTTTCCATATATACTGACTGTCTTTTGTCGCTAGAAACCCGGAAACACAACCCGCGTGACGGCCTTCGTATTAAACTTCGCCTACAGGTGGCCTATCCAACTCCTTAAATACGATATCGACTGACTGAAATGGCAAGGTAGTGGCGGCCTGTTCTTTTTACAATGGGTGTGAAATTAACCTCGACCCCAGCTCTCAATTAACATACAACATTAATGATTGTTTCTTTGTTACGTCATAGTATGCAAAAAAAAGCGCTATATATGTCACGTATTTCTAATTGAAACCCCCGCAAAATTATCACGATTTCTGTGATTCACATTGAAGATTAAATCCTGTTTTATCCTAAAGGTTATCGCATAATTTGTACAGTAGGCGCCTAGTAATAAATAATTATGAGTTTACTGTGTAGAAGGGCCCCCCGAGAACAAGTATTGGAGGCGTATTTCTTGAACAGAATCTTCACTGTTGGTAGCTGGACATCTTTAGATGACTGAAAAACTCTTTTCTTACACCAACACTTCTCTGCAGCTTGCGTCTCACCGGCCATTTTGTAGAAAGAAATCGTAATACCAACATAACAGAATAGAAATAAAATTTACTTTTCTCCAACGGGCGTATATTTTTATAATGAGATGAGAGGGATATTTTTGTCGCATGAGAGAGAAGAGAATTTGTAGGAAACAGCAACTTGGAAGATCTAGGCGTGAATGGCAGGTTAATATTATTTAGATCCTATGAAAATGTGATTATGAGTATGGAGCCAAGTGGCTGAGGATACGGATGAATCACAGGCAAGTGTGAATAAGGTAATGAACTTTTGGGTTCCATTGCTGAGAAATTCGTGACTAGAGCAGGAACTTTTTATTTCTCAAGAATGGCTCAGTTCCATGGATTCGTGACTCTAATCCGTGACGAGAAGTCTTACATTCGATACTTCACTACCTGTGTACTAGTACGCTACGTCCCAAACACTGTATCATACAGCCCCAGTTGAGACTGGTAGGCTTATCATACCATAGGATACAATTCTAGATCTCCTCTCCTTAGAAATCCGATCCTCTATCCCTAGAAATCCGACCATCTATCCCTAGAAATCCGATCCTCTATCCCTAGAAATCAGCATCCTTTTCTATCAAATATTCTACCATCCATCTGTTCGCATCAGCATCATTTTGTCTTCGTGGATTTTGCTTCAGTGCTGCGAGCGCGAGGGAGAGGCAGTGAAGAGAGCACAGATTCATACAGAACGCATAAAGTGTGATATTCGAAACTAAAAAAAAATTATTTCTGGACATACCCTCCACCAACATTGTTACACTTGTCCCATCGCTTTACCAGTGCGCCAAAACTCGCAGCACAGAAGCCTTTAGACTGTTCTCTCAGCCACTTCCGCACCTCCGTTTCAAATTCTTAATCTGCGAAACGTTTGCGACCCAGTTGCGAACCGCTTTACGCGACAAACACTTCCTGCAGCAAACAGGAAACATTTCATTACGAATATCCTCTGCATTTAGTCTCTTTGCATACATAAAACGCACAAAATAAATCTGCTCTTTGGTAGTATACCCCTCAAACACCTATTGAGTCCATTACAGCTGCTTTACTTCCATTTGTGACCTGTTTACTGACTCTCCCTAGTAGAAGTGGCTCAGAACCCATCGGTCCTGGCCTACCTGTTAAAGTTCCTTGTATAAGACAAATGAAAGCCTGTCCCTGCGCTTAATTAGGTAGGCATCACGTTATGCAAACCTATAAGGGAGTGGAGACCGCCTCTGTGGTCTATTGGTCAGAGTTCCTGGCTACAGATCCAGAGGTCCTGGTTTCGATTCCCGGCACTACCACATTTTCTGAGAAGTACTTGGTCTGGAACGGGGTCCACTCAGCCTCGTGAGGATAGTTGAGGAGCTATTTGAATGGAAAAGTAGGGGCTCCGGTCTAGAAAACCGAAATTAACGTCCGTAGGAATTCGTTGCGCTGACCACGCGAAACCCTCTATCCGCTAAATTTGGCACTAACTTCGCCGACAAGCGGCGGTTGCTCGGTCGGTATAGTTCGCTTGCGGGCTAAACCCACGGAGTTTTTATAAGGGAGTGGAGACAGGGACCCACCATTCTTCACCTCGGCACTAGATAAATATAAGTGGTCAGCTTGAAGCCCCGGCCGCTTTACTCCCAGGGAAAGAGAACCCCAGGAGACTGTGTGGCCCCAGATCCTGTCTGGACGCTGTGGAGGAAGGCAAAATCTTGACCTTGACTGAAATCGAACCCGGTTCACCGAGCCCGACTGAGTTTTCACGGCTCCGCAAGTTTCTTGCAGAGCGCGTCCGAGCTTGAATAGACAAGTTTACGGATGAAAGGTGCTGTCTGCTCGGCAACGTCACCGGTATGGCGATTTGAGTCCCATCTTTTGTTGAAAATATTTCTAAGTGCGACGTAAGGACCTACACAAGTATCTGTTTGGATGCGCCCTTAAATACAGTCGAGATAGATCGGACTTTGGTATAGGACGTAACTAAATGTAGGAGTATTATTTGTAATATCGACTTATTCTTTACCGAAACAAATTTTACATCTCTTCTGTTTAATGATGAAGAGTCAATAAGTGATTGGAGGAGACACTGGAGAATCTTGGAGCAACCAATCACAACCCAGATTTGTCTATCACTATATATACCAAATGGAATGCTGGCTTGGTGGGAGGTCTGGCAGACCATCACAATGACATTGCAGGAGTGGACTTGTGGCGGAGGGCAGACACGATCTGACCAGTGAAGTAAGGGCCGAGAGAGAAGCTTCATGAAATGAAATTAATTTACTCAAACAAACATTTCTAATCATCTGGTTCTGTGTTTTCTCTACCTGTTTTTTTTTCTTGGAAGTAATTTTAGAATTTTACATGGATAGAGGGAAACATGGATTTGAAGCCAATGAATGATACCAAATCCTGTCACCTTAACTACGAAGTAGAGTCAGTAAATAAATACAAATGGAAGTAAAACAGATGTAATGAACGTAACAAATTTTCTATGTGTATCACTAGGTGGCAGCGCAGTCAAGCTTCATGACAGTCTAGGTAGCAGACGCGCATGCTCATGATCAGAGGTCAGTTTCATTAGTCAAACTGGTGACCGTGCTTGAGGTGTACACTACCAAAGAGCATCGTTCTGTTGTGCTTTCTTGTGAACAAAAGGACCCAGTGTAAAGAGTATTTAGGTACAGAGGCAAATTAACTCTTTACCTTAATAATTTCATCACTACCCAATGAGAATATGTCTACGCTATTCTATTTCGATAAATTCATAGAAGTCCCACAGCACAGAAAACGCCATGATGATGGACTGTTAACCCTACAACAACTCAAAAACTGAAGGACCGACACTTGTAGACTGTTCGCGTCCTATGTATATACACATACTCGTATATGAGGGGATAACATTAAACTTGATGGAAGAAAATATGGATATATTAATGTGCAGTGAACTGACCTGACTTGCAAATATTAATTACTCCATAACGGTGGTTCGTTATTGATTGTGATTCTCCTGTGTGGTCTTTGTGGATGTGGGCTGTGTTGTCTATATTCGAAGGCACATCCTGCCTCCATCATCAGAGCAGGAGTAGGGTAGATGTTTGTGTATGTATAGGTTTTGGTCAAACAGGTCTGTGAACAAGCTTTGGGATAATGGCTGATTGGGCCATAATGGCCCTAAACAGGGCCGTTCTTTAAATTTGTCCGTTCTCCATATTATTGCAGACCTTGCATTAGCCCTAACCTCTCACTCCTAGGGCCTCCCTGGCCGAAAGCGGTACATCTCACTTAGCGTCAGGTTGTAGTGGCGGGTTTCTGTAGTGACAATAATGAACCTGTGTGTTCTCTGAGAGTAGGGAAATTGTTTGGTTAATCATCCAGCCGCTGCTGTGTGTGTTTTCAGAAGGCGGTGACTCGGAGAACTACCACAAGAACAAGGCAAAGAGGGTACGGACTACGTTCACAGAAGAACAACTTCAGGTTCTGCAGGCGAACTTCCAGCTGGACTCGAACCCAGACGGTCAGGACTTGGAGCGTATTGCACAGATCACGGGGCTCAGTAAGAGGGTCACACAGGTGTGGTTCCAGAACTCGAGGGCCAGACAAAAGAAACACCTCCACACAGGCAAACTGAAGACTCCAAGTGAGTTCCACCCACACAAGTTAACTTGGCATTGACTGAGTAATACCCAGAGTTGAGCTTCATTGGATGAAGAACTGTGTTTTTTTTTTTGCATTTCTGAAATGATTTGAACACGAGTTATGTCATTTTTTGGTAATTTCGCATTAAAAACTAAGTAAAATAAAGGGTAAAGGTATTCCTGTAACAGGCTGTGGAGGCCCATAGGGTTGTGAGATGTTGAGGTTCCCACATTTTCTAGATAATCGGTTCACAGATGGCGGCAAGGTTGTCTGCCCTACGCGCCGGCCGCCCTTCACCCCCAAGAACATTCCTGGTACTCATTTCTGTTAGAGTCTGAGTCGGCCCCAGGACCATAATGCGGCTGGAAGGGTTAGGTCAATTGAAAAACAAAATCCAATGACCTCTTCGGAACTTGAACCCGCGACCTTCCGCCTTGTAGCATAGTGCCTCAACCAACTACGCTACAGCGTGGCCCCATCAAATACTAAGTAACCTAAAAAAAGTGAAGCTATCCATATAAGAGTTCGTGAAGGCCCGAAAGGTTGTGAGACGTCGAGGCTCCCACATTTTCTAGGCAATCGGCTAACAGATGGCGGTAAAGTTATCAGCCTTACTCACCGACCGCCCTTTACCCCCAGGAAGATTCCTGGTACTCATTTCTGTTAGAGGCTGAGTCGACCCCAGGGCCATAGTGCGGTTGGAAGGATTAAGTCAATGTAAAAAATTGACCTCAGCGGGAATCGAACTCGCGACCTACCGGCTTGTAGCATAGTGCCTCAACCAACTGCATTACCACTTGCCCATCTTTACATGGCAGAAGGAGAGCACCTTACGTGAGGTCCGTACGTGTGACTGCAACTTAATGCCAGTATCTAAGCCGTTGGACATTTCACTGGGATTTTCTATGCAATGGAGGTGAGTGGTCAGTTTCACGCCTCGGCCTCTTTAACCCAAGGGAAGGAGTCCTCGGTACCTATTGGACAGGAGACTGGGCGAGCCCCACTATGGAAAAGAGAAAAATCTAGTATTACTGGACATCAAACCCGGGTCGTCCAGCCTGTAGCTCGTTACTATACCGACTGAGCTAACAAGGCTCCTGCTTCTAATCCTAGCGGGGGTTCTAACTACCCCGACTGAGGTTTCTCATGGGTTTCTAAGGAAAATCCTGGGTAGTACGTAAAATTGTGCTACAGCCGTGTCCTTGTACATCTCTTTTCGATTCATTATTCACTGATCGACCTTCCATTTGCAGCTGCGCAGTGCGAGCTACTGAGAATATCGTTCAGTAAAGCACATAAAGCATAAATATAGACGAATAGCTTTAGTTTGTTCTGTTTGATTTCAGTGCACCACGCCTCTGCCCCCTTGTCAAGGGACTCGGACTCAGCAACGTTTGGCCGCCACATCAACCTACACCTCACTTACTCGTTCCAGTCGCAACAGTCGGGCAAGACGGCGATTTTCGTTCCCCGTGGTCAGTGCAGACTGAAGTGTTTCTCTCCTACAAGCCACTGTTCGTCTCAGGAATGTCCTGTAGGCGTATCATATTCTTACCACTTAACCTGAAGGGCTCACAGACTTGAGCATTGTCTGCCATATCTAATTGATCTGCTGTACCGGTATATATCATAAGATGTTTGCTTCCGGTTTCAGCAGGCATGTAATATTATAAATGATTAAAAATGCATCCAATAAGAAATTATTATATTCTGTGGTAATGCCTGACTAGCATAAAAATGTGCCAGAAATAGAATGAGAATTAATCTAAGAGAATATGAACAGTGGCAAGCAGATCACATTGCAATCTGAGTAGAAAAATTAATAAAATCGACGAATTAACCTTTTAAAACCCAAGCTTTGCCACAAAACACCACCTGCTAGAAATAACAAAACTGCCTGGGGGATATTCATGGTTCCACAGAGAATCCTACGATGCTTCCCTCAAATGGCCTTCAAATAACACTAGAAATATTTCAAGTGAAAGCATATTCTAGCCTTCAAAATTTCGTAAGTAACTGATGCCATCTTTTGACAGAAATGCTTAACTAATTAATCAACAACTAGCCGATTTCATCGGCTGTGACGGTCTTAATGCAAGTACATGGGGCAAAATTGACTTTTTTTTTCTGCCAAGCTTACATGGACACCGAACAGATTGGTCTTGGGGATTTGCTTTCTGCCAAAATATCAACTATCATCCCAGCTTTCTGGTACAATAAGACAGAAGTGGCCGCAGTGCAAGGGACTTAGTCCCACCCCACTAGCAATAAAAAAAATCATCCCAGATTTTGTTGTGATTTTTCTCAGTACCCATATAAAATGTAATCGTAGGTTATGGAGTGGTAGATTTTGTTAAAAAATAGGCCGATATTAAAGTCTTTTATAGGATTTCAAAAATTTTAGGACCAAATCGTGGTTCATCAGATTGAAGTCTGTCTGGTGCCTTGCCATATTTTTGATAATTGGTAGAAGAGTAAGGATGTTGAAATACTGAGTGTGCCATATTAGTTCAGTGCAAATATACGAAGGTTCATAGGCTTCAGGCCGTTGACCAGTTCATAGGATTTCTGTATGAAATATTAGATTCTAAACACTTGAAGACACATTTCAAATATAAAGATAGCGTTATGATAAAGAGATGTTAGTTCTGCATGACTTCGGCTTTCACGAATACGTCGTGCAGAATGTTGAAGAAAACTTTGTCAGATTTGATCTTTTCACGGCGGTGACTATGATGAAAGCAGTCTTCTGACGGAGTCTGTTGCACCTGCTCACGCTGGATCGCTCGCGGATTTTTTCTTGTCTTCTACCCTGAAAACGGAGGCGATACGTTAACGTCGGTTAACACTATCTACACGGCGCCACATCCCAGAAGACTGCTTTCATCAAAACTTTACGCCGTTTCGACTAACATTTATGTTGCTATCTTCATAGATAACGTTTTTGAGAAGGGAATTGATAGCTCCTATCTAGTATATACTCGTATCTCGCCACTGGGCGACGAATCGGAGATGAAGACGTAACTGGGCGAAACACAGGAACGCGAAGCTATATAATGTAATGAAGACCAATCTTTTGTTCGTCCGTTGACTTTCAACGGACTACAGGACTTTATAACCCAGAAGATAGAACACTTCAAAACCAACGCTGTGAGAACCGCAAATCCTACATCTGATGTGATATTTGCCTAAACATTAAAACATTCAACATTCTATTAGATGTATTCCCGAAAGCCGAAAACATACGTTAAGCTCCATCCGCGAAAACTTTAGGACAAAATGTTACGGTACCTACGTGTTAAAGGGTGACCGAGGTAGCTGGAATATTTTACCGCCATGTTGTCACCACATTAAGGCTACTAACCATAGAAGTTTATTTGTGAAAAAGAAAATGAAACCGAAAGCCTAATTGTGGGCTATTTTTAGTTAGGCCTATTTATTTTTTAAAAATTAACCAAAACCCCAAAAGTTTCGAAACAGAACAACAGGATAAACTTTTAAAAACAAAGCAAAAAGCCTAATTTTATATAGATTTCTTGTTGGAGTAAGGTTAGGTTTTCGCTTATTTTTACAAATAAACATCTACAATTGGACGCGCGAGTGTGGCCCTCGACATGGCGGTAAATTTCAAAGTTACACGGGTGACCCATTAATACGCAAGTGCTGACGTGACATTGTATTGATACAATTATTTCTTTCAGTCCAAGACACATCGATGGATGAGCTGTCGCAAGACTCAGTGGTGCAAACCTGCATGAGAGGAGAGGTATGAGACGAGGCCTCCACGTCGGCTGCAATGTGCGACCATACCGACATCAGCGAGTAAACACAGCGAGTTAAACTTATATCCTTGAAGGTGCAAGTTGAATTTATACGTCTCCTATTAAAAGCAACGTTTCAAATTATGCGCTTTTACGTTGAATTTATATGAAGGTTATTTGAGGATGTATGTGGCAGTGCATGTGTGTATGTATATATGTAAAGATACTAAGTATAGGGTCATTCAAAATGACCTTACCCTAACATTGATTTATTGTATAAAACCCATATACAGAGAAGATATTTATTCTTGTTTTATTTAACGAAACGTGTATCATTTTGACTTTGGAGCAATGAGCTTCAAAAATGACAAATCATGAGTCAGAACTTATATGGAAATAAGAGATCGAGACCTGTTTTAAAGTGACATAGAAGCATTTGCTTGGATGACTGAATAAAACTATGAAGAGACAACCGAAATTATTTGTCTTAATATATTTTTCATCTATTTCAGTTGCCCAGAATATATAATATTGAATAATAGGAAGGTAAATAAATTTGGAAGGGTATGAATGTTCCATATATATCCTGCAAAGGTAAGAACCGCGGACATTTCTAATTTGAAGCAGGATTGCCAACCGTTGCATCGAGGTGAGATGCGCTGGTACTTCCCCGACACTTCAGAATCAGCTTCGCTTCACACCGAAGAGCCCTTCTTCAGAATCTCCTAGCTGTTCAACTTACTTACTCATGGAGCTGAGCCCTTCTTGAGGATCCGCCAATTTTGCAGCTACTCAAGAATTTCCAAAAATTTAATGGAACCCGAAGGTTCATTACCGTGTTCACAACAGCCCTCCACTGGTCTCTATCCTGAGCCAAATCAATCAAATCCATACCATCCAATCCTATCTCTCTAAGATCCATTTTAATATTCACCCACCTACGCCTTTGCCTTCCCAGTAGTCTCCTTCCTTCTGATTTTCCAACCAATATCATATATGCATTCCTCTTCTCCCCCATTCGTGCTACATGCCCTACCCGCTCAGCTAGTAAAGAGATTTCCTGCCTTTGATGGAAACTCAATCTTCGTTACCGTGAAGAGTATTACAGATATGGATGTGATGCCGTGTAGTCTAGTAGAAGTTCGCCCAGTTTCATTCATGGTCGAGGAGTAAGCGAAGCAGGTATCAAGCAAACAGCAGAGATTGCCATATCCACTGGGCCTTATCCATAGCCACACGCTCAAGCCCTGTTTCGGCCCAAAATTAAGAATTACCTAACCTGTCTGTCAGTACATAGGCTATGTACTGTCATGTTAAGAGCGGAAGCTCAGTTTGTCCCTGTGCCCCAAATAAGGGTCGACGTGACAGCACAGGGGAACAAGGCGGCCATGTGGGGGACAAAATTATACATTCAGTTTTTCTTTGGTTCTTTCCTTGTTAAACAGAAATTGAGTTCTATTTTGTTTATATCGTGACCACTAATTCACAGCGTAAGTTGCTGCATTGTAAAGATAAGAAAACGATAAAGCTGTTTTAAGAGTCACGCTGCCAATGCAGGTTTTGTCGCATGTCGGGAAATTTCGTGTTGTTAACTGCAGCCAACTTTTAGAAAGTTGACTGAAGGGACGACGAAATATCTCATCTTCTGGAGCGGCAGTTGGGTTTGTGCTGGCAATGTTCAAGACTCAAGAGACGTATGGACGGAAATGGAAGGAACGGATCCTCTTTGTCCTTTATACTCAGTCGACTTTGGGAACGACGACACATCGCCACGTAGTGACGTAGAGCGTTATGTCATCATACCTCCGGTGTTCATACACAGCTGAAAAGTTCAAACATCCTTACACACGTCCCTTATGTTCGTAAGGTTGCCTACACCGTGGTTCATGGGGTAGACGGGCCGCTGTAACGGACTGCACACGGCACCGAGCAGAAATGCCTGTTATTTCTTAGCAAAAGCCTTGTTTCTGAAAACAGAATATATTTTGGCGTGCCGCGAGAAATAATAAACCAGCATAATACATGATACATTTAAAGTATGACTGTAAAGTTAACTTCGTAAAATTACCTTTAATTTGAATTGATTGGTGCTTAAAGCTGATTTTCGAAAATGCCACCGCCGGCCGCAACACAGGCTCCCGCTCGGTTGTGAACTGCGCGGGTAGCACGTAGCAGCTTCAACTGGCTGTTTCTTATGTGGTCAGCGGCGTAAAGAATGCGACCGAGCAAAGCATCTCGCGTTGCCACCTTCGCATTGTAAACCAGTTCTTTCATCTCCACACACAATAATCCAGTGGGCTTAAGTCTGGAGACCTGGCTGGCAATTCTTCGCGTACTCGTACGTGGACTGCAGTGTACCATATGAACAATGCCTTCTTCATTAACACCACGCTCGGTTGCAATACGAACGCCGGAGAAGTCTACCGGTATCTCGCAATGCCTGGTAAACTCCAGTAAACACTCTCCGGTTCGGTATTCTACGATTCGGAAACCGTTGCTAATATTCAGCTACGGCAAGAACTGAGTTACCGTCACAAAACCCGTACACATAAATCATATCTGCATACTCCTCAAATGAAAATGTAAATGGCATTGTGAACGTAGCAGATGCACCGAGATGAGAACTGTTCTGAACACCAGTAGCCGCCACACTAGCCGTGGCCGGACATACCAACCCACCATGCCTTAGGTACCTCTCAAGTGTCGAAATAACGAGAACGGTCTGTCTGTAGCTGGCTAAAAATAGCGACCCCCCCAGATGATAGACGCGGTTCACACGAGGGCGTGTACGGGAATGAAAGAACGGTCATAACTCCGTAACTGTCCAAAATCGGACACATCTTTATATGAACTTTTTTGATCACAAAGACTTAGGAAATCACCTCCTGCAGTTATGCCCAAAAGTCGTGAAACATTCTGTATATACAAAAAGGCCTGGGCAGTGCCCGTCCGGCCCTCTATAGCACAATCTTAAAGCAGGTGGACCGCTGTTGGTACGCCACTACCATCTAGTGACAGGATTTTGCACTATGTGATCTCAACCTCAACGGATTACTATACACGATATTCGAAATGATCATGACGCAAGCCGTGTCCAATAAATGCCAGCTTAAAATTTGCAGTCCATACATAATGACTTATCAGCATTCTTTTAGGAAGAGATCAGGTGAAGGCCATATTCTCTTCGGCGAATGTGGCAGAATCGCTACATAGTCGCCTATCTTCATGTATGCAGTTATGTTTACCATTTGGGACTGATTTTACTTTTGATAACCAATAAATAATACAAAGTTTGTATGTTGAGCATATTAGGTGAAATAACTGACTGGCTACGGGCTGGACGACCGAGAGGTTGGAGTTCGAGTCCCCATAGGGTAAAGAATTTTCCCTTCTCAATGTCTTCCAGACTGGCTCTGGGGTCCACCCATACTCCTACACAATGGGTACCGGAGGGGTAAAGCAGCCGGGGTGTGAAGCTGACCACTCATCTCCAACTAATCAAGAAAATGTGGATCTATACATCCATTCCTCCATATGCCTTCATGACATAGTGCATAATTAGTTAAGCACAGGGACAATTTTACGTTTACCGTCACTTCTTTGCCATTATTTCTCGCTTTTCGTAAATTTATTGACAGATATGTGGATCTTAAGGTTTTTTCAGTGGTCCACAGTCATCGTTGACTGCTGGGTGCTGTAAGATCTCAAAATAATAAAGATTATCAGCATTTTAAAGGTATTTCCTTTTGCCCATCCCGTACATTTAGCAGCAACGTTGATGGTGGTCAATTTTTAGATGGGTGATCGTCAGAGATCATGGCCGTAACGTTGAAGTTAATCTTGAAGTTCACTATACAGCACAGCTACGTTACCACTGTCATGACCACTTGAAATATGAAACATTTCTGACCAGTTATAATTCAGACTTGTATCTTATATTCCTCTGACACTGTTCGTCATTGCTTCGGCCCTGAAGAAGGAGGCAGCGAGTTCCTCTGAAATATCTGTAATTTCTGGCCTTTGTAGAAGGAATAATACTGAGAAAGCTCCATACTGACTCTAGACAAATATTAATAGTAGACACACACATACAGCATTACAACGCACGCAGCCACAAAAGGACATATCACAAGACACAGTATACACAAAATATAGGAAGAACAACTCCCATAATGGAAGAATGATATAATACACGAACTTGAAATAAGACGTATAAGATGATAAATCTTAAAAAATTTTAATATATATATATAAATTTTATTATATTACATGAAGAATATACATTTTTATAAACAACACATGATGGTGAGCAGTGCAATAGTTTAACGTAAATAACACACCTGAGGATGGCACAGTGATGCCGAAACATGTAGTGAAGTGACAAATGAGATTGTGTGCACTAGAAGACGGTCAATACATAAATATCATGGACGAGAATCAGTGCAACAGGATGCTAAAATACGACATTATTAATAATAGACTAGTTATTTGTTGAACCCCATTCATGATCAAGAGGAGATGGGGGTAGCTCATTCTCTACAGTGATGAGGCTACAGGCTGGCCAGCCAGAATCTCAGAATTTTGTTCCAATCATGGTCAGAAGAATTTCCCTTCTCTGCAGTGTCCTCACCAGCTTTGCAACTCACCCATCTTCATCTCCAATGGGTAATGAAGATCTTTCTTTGGTAAAGCAGCCTGGGTATGAAGTTGACTGCTCACTGCCACCCAGTGCCAATGTTAAGAACGTGCAGAACTGTATCTCTACTCCCCTATTTATCTTCACAGTGTGGATTTTAATTAAGCACAGAGACAACTTTGCCTTTTACACTTCCTTTATTCATGACTAAGTCACAGATATGACTAATTCATCAGATGACAATGCATTATACCGAGAATATCTGATATTTTCATACATTATTGTAATTTTTGGATACTTCCTCTGAAAGTACTCATTTATTTCCCAGCTGTCTGTTATGTCAACCTCTATACATCTATTTCCAGCTTTAATACAAGAAGCTAATCGAATGGTGAGTAGAATTTTGAATCAACTTGTCAGAACTTTCCCTCTAGGACAGGCATGTCAAATGCATTGATTGCGGAACAATTTTTGGTCGATCTCATAGGCCTATAAAGAAATTATATGTGAAAAGCATGTAAATTCACTTGTAATATAATATGATTATATTCAAATTTTAAGGGAAAATATGTATTAAAGTAGTCTGTACTTTCAATGTATGTTGCTTTTACGACACACATCATGTGTCGTGTTATTTTTACCGATATTTTTGCTTAAAGTGTGGTACTACGATAGGTAGGGGTGGTAGATCACTGGCAGTTTTGACACTAAAAAAGTCGATCACAACGTGTTTGAAGTTGGACATGCCTGCTCTAGGACTACTGTGTTCCACTGGCACGGCCATTTACATGAAAATGGTCATATGCAACATAGAATTCTTTGTTCACAACTGTCCAGCCCCTTTTCATGACATCTCTCCCACCAACAGAATTGCAACTTCAGTTTTAGTAATTATCACAGCCACTGTTAAGCCTGCCTGGATGAGTCAGTTTCACACTGAATTCAGTTGCACAGTCACAATGGTGACATTTATGTGTAGTGATGTCATTTTTCTGATTGCATAACATTGTCTTGCAGTATCCTGTTGCACAACATTTATTTTCATTCCTTATTCACTGTCACATATGCAAACTTGTATTAAAATCTTAAAATTCACTTTGAAATTTAAAATTGTTTTTCACATTATTGGTTCACTATATGTTTTGACCAATATGGTCATCATCAATTGCTATTGGAAAAAGCAGGTAGCAGTTGCACATGACACATAAGAGGAATCACCCAGTGTGTAAACAAGGGAATTATGTACCTTGATGGAAGTGCAGCAGTTTTGAACAGCAATTTTCATAGCACCTGATGATGACCACATCTGTTGAAACATGTAATGCACTAGTGATGTAGAAAACAATTTAAAATTCAAAGTGAAGTAAACATACATTTGTCAAATGTTCATCAGTAATCATTTCTAGAGCAAGTCATTATCCCATCCTTCTGACTTGTCCGATGTAGATTTTTATTCAGACACATTTTGCCTCACCATAATCAAATATAAGAGTTCCATAATTGTCTTTACAAGCAGACTTGCTCAGTGTAATGCTTGTGAATTAATCTTGTCTACATACTTAGTGAACAGAAAAAAATATGGTTTTTCCAGAGCTTCTTCAAGTATTATAGCTAAGTTGAAATAAAGAAATCCTCCATATAAGACTTTGTTCTTGTGTGATTTATTTTCATTGTAGACTCTTCTGGGTATGATACAGTGTGAAATGTTAAAAAGTACTAGGTCTCAAGGAATTCGTTCTTAGTCTTGGATACTGTATACGGAGATATACGAGTAGTGTGATATCCAGAAGAATCAATTGAGAGAAAGTTTCTGTGTTTTGTTCCTTAAAAATAAACACTTATATAAGACCAATCAATAAGCAGCCCTAATTTTTTTATACTTTTTTGAAATTATAGTTTAATTTTACCTATTTTTATTAATATCATTTATATTAAAAAGGTTTCGTTAACTAGTTTCACTATAATGGAGCAGCTCTAGCAGGAAAGGAGTGTTTACATATCATGTTATATTTACATATAAATTCGTAGCTTCACAGTTCTGGATTCACTGTGAACACCGGTAATTGGGCACCAACTTGTCAGAGGAACATATTGCCTTCTGGGGCCAGAGGCAACAGGAACCGTTGAAACATTGCCCAGACAATTCGTAACCTCCCAGGAGATTAATAGTACTCTGGGATCCGTGGTGAACTTTCAGCGGTTATATGAAGGTCTATTCCCGCCATTCCCTGTGCAAGTATGGCGCTTTGTCGTTTGAATAAGAGTACTTGTGTGTGCACGCAAATATAGATTACTCGTAAACGTTTGATGCTTTATGATGTAAGTAATATAATTTCATCACAGAATCTTACACGGAAGTCAGCAGAAGAATTACTGATGGAGTATATCGTTGGGGACAGAGAGAGAGACGGATATATACGCAATAGAACCATGTGATATTCTGTGTTACAAAGTCTGTTAAGGTTAATCAGAGGACAATGTAGAGAGAGAGAGAAGTGATCACTGGAGTCAGTACGACGAAAAACTAAATATGAAGTTAAGCAAACGATAACTAGTAGTTATCTTAGGTAATATGGATTTTATTCTTCATTAAGAGTAATTGGGCATGAGTAATTGCTCAAAGAGCAGCTGCTAATTTAAGCCATTTTGAAATATTTTCTTTCGATTTTTATGAGAGGGAGCACTCGAGTAAATCAGATTATAAGCCATCATAGTCTGTAACAGTCTATAGATAAAATGCCTGGTAAATAAATATGCAGTTTTGTTATTGCTTTAAGTAAAGCCAATTAAATTCTCTGTAAGATAAACTTTTGATAGCATTCATGAAAATATCTGTATATTCAGAGTTCTTTCTCAGTTTTGCTATATTTTTCTGTTGAGTAGGCAGATATAGTGGCAAGGCCCAAGATTGCATTTGAAAAATGCTAGATTCAAACACTGGCGGGGACATCAGCTATCCTGACTGAAGTTTTTCACGGCTTTTCTCGGCCTCTTCAGGTACAGTAAGTGCCAGAAATCTCAGTTGGGTCCCTGCCACTACCTTCCAAATTCTGTCCAGTTCACCATTCACATAAGCTCTGTGGTGCAAATTACCATTGCAGAATAACCAAGAAAATTATTATTTTTATAGTGCTATTAGGGGTAGAAGCCACCAGAAACGACATAGCGCTTTTGTACAGCTTGTTCTTCCAGCATGCATAAATGAACCAAAGAGGCATGTGAAGAGTAGTGTTTTGGGACGTGATGCTGCCCAGTCTGGTAGAAGCGCATGGGAATTTAGAGGGACATATGTCTCCATCTTCAGGACCAAGCAGACGGCAGGCAGAGTCTGCTCGCCAACTGTATGTGAGGCATACTGTGAATATTCTGGTTTAGCAATGCAACATGAATTTCATAAAACTGGAACCTGAACCAGATGGAGAATCGTACCTATCATCCTTTCATAATGAGAATCAAGAAAATGATGTAGCACAGGATGAAAACCTTAAGCATGTGGGATGCCCCATTATGAAGACCGAAAATGATGTGAGTTATATGTCTGTCTGTATGACATGAAAGTATGACCTGTCACCATTCTGTTTGGATCTCCTTTTAAATCGCTGCTATTTGAAAGTTATTTGTTTTGTAGTTTTGACTGCTGCTTACAATAGTGAGCTGTTGTAGGTATGATCTTTGTAGCTGGTGTTGTAACTCTGCTAATCCAAAAATATGGTAAGAGGTAAAATTTTCCCTGTGCTTAACTAATTAAACACTATAGATATGCCATGAAGATTATGGTGGAGTGGATATATAGATCCACATTTTCTTGACCTCGGCAGTAGCTGGAGGTGAGGGGGGGAAGGAGCCCCCAGTATCCACTGAATAGGAGGCTGGGTGAACCCTAGAGTCGATGTAGATGATGTGAAGAGAAAATTCTTGACCATACTGGGACTTGAACTCTGACCCCTAGGCAGTCACTATGCCGACTATGCTGTCCCGGTTACTCATCTTTTATAGTAAACCGGGTATTAATAATGAAATTATCTCAATGAACCATTTATTCTCATGTAACCATTATGTAAAGTACGGTATTGCCATTTCATGTTTTCTTGTCTTACCATGTCTTCATTAAATGAAAGTAAAAACGTCTTTTTGTGTGAACAACATTCTCTGTAAAGTAATGCGAAACAGAGGGAAGCCATGTTTTCACACATTTTAGTAGTAATTATTCTTTACAGTGGTGCTATAATTGATAGCGTTATATTAATGTTGCAGGTCATTATGGATTTCATTAAATCAGAACCTAATTCAGATTGTGAGACATGTCTCAAATTTTCTCACAGCGAGAATGAAATGGTTGATGTAAAAGAGGAGGAAGATCCTATTTTAATAACGTTCCCAGTTGTTAAGCCTGAAAATGAGGTAATGTTGTGTTACATATTTCATGGAGATATGCATGAATGCCTAATATCTCTAGCTCTTCAGTCTGTTTGTGCATGGGTCTGATCCTGTGTGGTTAATTGGATTTTTAAGTTTTCACTTAGTCTTTATGTCAGAGATCATCAGCAAAATTGAGTGGCTCCAGCACGTGTTGTTTTATGTGGTCATCTGTGTTTTCAAATAATTGCAAGCCTTTTCAAACAAAGATGTTAGGTGAGGATTATATTTTCCTTCATGACCTGTGTGATTTCATGTGGGTGCAAACGGTACATAATTGTTGTCTTGAAAGCTTATAATGTTTTAATAATCTTGCAGCTGTTCTTATAGGCTCTTTTCGCGCTCCGGCTTCTTGCACAAGGTGTTCGAGAGGCTTATGAGGAAGATGTTTGTTGAGATCCTGTTTTATCTAGGTTCATTTTTTTGACATGTCACTTTTTCTTATTATGTTCACAAGATTTTGAGTAATGATTCTGTAAGAAAGTCTGGGACACCGCTTGTCTCTTCCTAGTGGACTTACCACTGTACATAAGAAATAAAGACATTGGATCCTTTTATCACATTTATCCTTGTCCCACCCAAAGGAACTGTTACATGACATCTATTCTCAATTGAATGGGCATATCATATCATTAGCATTTACCATCACTTGTGACTTACCGAGGTAACCTGCCATAGACGACTGAGTCTCGGAGGCCGATCCAGTGTAGCAGCAGCACATTGTCCTCTCTCTCTCTCTCTCAGATAACCTCACTGGTTGATGATTTGTGCATTCTTGGTGTTTCTTTCTTGTTAAGGCACATCCCAAAAGAGTCATGATAACCTTATCTCTCCACTGATAATTTCATGTATCCTGTCATGTATGTATTGCATATGATATACCCCTCCTGATCCTGCACATATTTTTCACATACCTGAACCTTAGTGGATTCCATCATAGTTTTATGCGTATGAGTGTAGCCTCAGGTGCTACTGCTCAGCCAGACACATATTGACAGAAGAAAACAGAGTAATTCTCTGACAGAAGGATGTGATATTTCTCTGGGATGTGGTTACTTTCCTTGCCCACACCACAGTGTACCATAAAGAGAAAACTGAAGGAAAGATTCTTTTGTAAATAACACTTATTGCTCATGGAAACTATCTGCTTCTCCAGGCTGTGAAGTCATGTGATGAACTGGAAGGTACAGCTGAGGCACAGGCTACCGTTACTGGTGAGCAAGGTCAGTGTCATGCCACACCAAAGGAATATGAAAGTCATGGGCAAAATCCTGCAGTTTGTGACAGTTCATGTCTTATGGTCAAATCATTAAATACCCACAACTGTATTTACTCATGCAATGTTTGTAAGAAGACTGAACTCGGGAACATTTGGTTGAACATAGCAGAAAATGCCTGTACTCATATGATATCTGCAAGAAAGCCTTTGATAAGCCTAGTAGCCTTAAAAAGTATCTGCATATACATAGTGGATGGTGTCTGTACTCTTGTGATATGTGTGGGAAGGCGTTTAGGGAACATTCTCAACTTTTCTTTTTTTTAATGTTAGTGAGGTGGGACTAAGTCCCTTGTACTGCAGCCACTTCTGGCCTATTGTACCAGCCCCAGATGATAGGTGAGGGTGATTGTGGAGCAATTGGTGGAATGAAGATTGGCAGGGGAAACGGAAGTACTCGGAGAAAACCTGCCTCAGCGGCACTTTGTCCACCACAAATCCCACTTGACCAGGCCCAGGATTGAACCCGGGCCGCCGCGGTGGGAAGCCTGTGACTAATTGCTTAGTGTTCTAAAAAGTCATATGCTTTTGCATAACGGGCAGCGTCAGTATTCATGCAATACATGTGAGAAGGTGTTTAGGTTTTCCTCTGATCTTAAAAGCCATTGGCATGTGGGTCCTGGGGGAATGGCCATACTTTTGTGTTGTGTGCAGAAAAGGCTTTAATCAGGCTAGTATTGTAAGACATCACATGCTTTTACATAGCGGTGAACATCAGTATTCGTGTGATGTGTGTGAGAATATGTTTAGGTTTGCTTTCAATCTTAAAAGACATCTATGTGTGCATACTGGAGAATGGCTGTACTCATGTGACATTTGTGGGAAAGGCCTTAATGAGGTTAGTGTTCTTAAGAAAAACATGAGCATGTGCATACCAGAGAACATCCATACTCATGTCATGTATGTAAGAAATGTTTTAGAGGTCCCACTATTCTGAAAGTTCATTTGCGTGTTCATACCAGAGAACGTCCATACTTGTGCCATGTCTGTAACAAGACTTTCAGAAGTCAGTCAGATCTCAAGAGACATCACAATGTGCATACTGGTTAAAGTCTTTATTCATTGGTATAAAATGTAATTCTTTTCGTAGGTCATTTAATCTTGCACATAATGGGACACACTGTTAAATGAGTATTCGTGTTATTGTAGGCAGCCACAAGTATCACTCTTGTGCATTGCAACGATGCTTACACGTTCATGAAATATTTAATTTTACCAGGTAATTTATGAAGACAGATGTGGAGCTTGTATATTCCTGTAATGTATGTAAATTTGTATGCATGTTCAGTATTAAATTCATTAAAAAAGATGAGTGCTGGTTATGTATTCCTTTTTGACAGGTTCTGATCTTTACTGGAAAATTATTAAATCATGAGTTTTATGTTTATAAAGCAGCTTTTAATATTCATATATATATATCATGCAGAGAGTTTTTATATGATCACAACATAATACTTGGAATTTAGAGTGTTTTAAAATTGTAGCTTAAAAGATAGTATCAAACTTGAGTATTTGTAAATGTGCTATAACCTTCATAGGTCATCCATTTTGTTTTGGTCAGGGTGCAGTGAGAGATAATCTAATTGTTCAAATTGTAGCTAACTGCTTGCTTAAATGGATTTGGAATTTGGGGTTGTGATTGTATGGCTGCATTCTCCAGTTGTGACTTCCAGGATTTTGTTCAGCAGTGTAAGTACTCGTACACTGACTAACAACTTTACCTTTATACTGAAGTGCACAACAGACATAATGATCTCATGTGGCAAGAAATTCAAGCTGTACTGTATCACAAAACCGTTCACGGCCAAGCCATATGGAAGAAATAAAAATATTATGAAACATAATATCAAAAATATTTGTGAAACACAAATACATTACACAAAAAAGTGGAACTCACAAAAATATAATTTAATTATGGTATTCAATTGAAAATGCGACACAGTTCAGATATTTGGGAATGACTATAACAAATCAAAACTTGATTCAGGAGAAAATTAAGAGGAGATTGAACTTGGGTAATGCTTGCTACCATTCAGTCCATAACCTTTTGTCTTCTTATCTGCTGTCTAAAAACAAATTAGAATGTACAAAACTATAATTTTGCCTGTGGGTCTGTATAGGTGTAAAACTTGGTCTTTGACATTAGGGGAGGAACATAGACTGAGGGTGTTGAGGAGAATATTTGGACCAAAGAGAGATGAAGTGGTGGGAGGTTGGAGAAAACTGCATAATGAGGAGCTTCATAACTTGTACTCTTCTCCAATTATAATTAGAATGATCAGGTAAAGGAGGATGAGATGGGCAGGGCATGTAGCATGAATGGGGGAGAAGTGGAATGCATATAGGATATTGGTGGGAAAGCCAGAAGGCAAGAAAACACTGGGAACATATGATTTCCAGTGTTCGAGGATAAGGTTGATTGCAAGGACGGCATGATGGGAAGTATAAATGTTTTAATTTTGCATTTGATCACTGGCATAAATGTGATCTGCAAAATGTGCTTAATTGGAAGGACAACGTAAAGAGAAGTCTAATTATTTTAAAACTGCATTTGATCACTGGTGTAAATGCAATGAAAACCAACCTCAAACCAACAATAATTAGCTAATGTACTGTGTTATATCATGATTTATTTTTTGTTTTGTTTACTGCAGTTGAACACGAATAATTGCTGAGACAGCAGTTACTAGTTGTGGATATTTTGAAAATACCCCTCTTCACAGTATTTATAAGAAGGGGCTCTGTAGTATATTCATTTGTAAGACATCAAGTCTGTTACAGTGACAGGTGTAATGGTTAATTGGTTAAATTCTAACAATTTAGATCTTACTGATATAAAGATTGATGAGAGTCAGAATGCCTCAATATATATAGCATGAGGGGGGCTGGATGGTTGGGGTTTGACTCCAAGCAGGGGCAAGGGGTTTTTGTATAATTCACAGCGTCCATACTCGCTCTAGGGTCTACCCAGCCCCCTATACAATGGGTATTGAGGGCTTTTTCACTCATGGAGGGGCTGGGGCATGAATCTCACCATTCACTTCCATGTAATGCCAAAATCCTGTTATCCTTGGTGTGGTGCTTTATGAATTAACCACTTGACAGCTTTACCTTTGAAAGAAACCCTTATTGAAGGAGATTGTTCTCAAGAGGAGCTTTTGTTCCATCTTGCTAACAAAGTTACGATTTTGTTATTATATTAGGTAAATCTAATTGAATTCTGTCCATGATGTATTTCTGATAGTGCTCGTGAAAGCAAATTCTTATTTAGAATTAATAGTTTTGATATTAGTGCTGAAATGTTTTATTTTTTTACCAAGCTGGTTAGTGTAGCAGTAGCACCCCTAGACTTGATTTTGTGAGGTGCTGGGTTCAAATCTCTGCTGGTACATTGGTTATCTTGAATGTTGTTTTTTGTGGTTATCCTCACGCCCATTCAGCATGTGGCAGATTAGTACTTTAATTGGGCTATGGCCATTTCCTTCCGAATCCTCTTCCCAGTTCATTGTTCATGAAATATCATATTTGATGCAGCTAATGTAGATGCTGGTTTTGTAAACAATCCAGAAGATGACTGTTTTTATAACGAAATTTAAGTTATCCCCAGAAAATCTGGTACAATTCCCCACAGCTTGTCCAGCCTGCTGAACTGTATCAAAGGGGAATGTGCTTTGTCTGCATCAGACATGTCGCAGTTGTGAGCCTGTGTTACCTTTTATCCATACATTATTCTCTGATTTTCACCTTTTTCCTGGGGCTGAATTTTGTTGTATCTTGCAGGATCTCAACATGTCCAGGACACTATACTGAACACAAATTTGAATGACTCCAGCTTGTGGTGAAATTGCTAATCATCCGCTTCACTGTCATGAGTAGTTTGATGGTAACTCTCAACTACCTGATGCAGGATGTGCAGAAAGTGAAATGAAACTGTATGTAAAGATTGCTATGAATAGTGTAAATGGGGCTGTTTACACAACATTAAAATCTACAAAATAAACACAAAAATAGATACTGATATATGAACTTCGGTTTTTATTATTATTCGTTTATACACAGGTGTTGCACTACATGTCTAAACAGTTCCTGGATCATCATCGGGCGAGTCACAACAATATCAATATAAGTTCTTGAATTGAGTTGGCTTAATCTGGATCCATATTTTACAGTTCGATTTTGTTTTCAAGAGCAAATAAACCTTTGTAAAATGTAACCTAACAATACACCCGAGAACTCTGGTAATATACTGTTTTTATCTAAGTTTAAGATTGTTTTAAGACAAATATAATTATATTTAATATAATAAGTCCTTGAAAAAAAATTTAATATAAAAGGTTTTTAAAAATGCTATGAATATCGTGGTTTAGCAGTGCAACATGGATTTCATGAAACTTGAAGCTGAACTGGATTGAGAATCGTACTTAACATTTTCTCATAATGAGAATCTTGAGAATGATGTAACAGAGGATAAAGTTCGTAAGCAAATGGGATGCCCCATTATAGGGACCAAAATTGAGGAAAGTTATGTGTTTTGTAGTTCTGGCTGCTGTTGTAACTCTGCTAATACCAGAGTATTTTATCCAGCGCCAAATGCCAGATAGCGGTACTTGTTACCCATTCATTTGACAGGATATCTAATTTCTGGTCTGTAAATCTTAACATCTGTACACTACTCATAGTCAGAAATATATGTTTCTGGCCATTATCCATCTTCCTGTCTTTGTCTAAAAGCACTATCCTGTTTATATTACAAAATACAATATTTCAGAGATTGGATTCTGTCCAGAGGTAGGGACCTAGCTCTGTTGATTGGGCCCAACTGAGTAGGTTTTACCTGGAGACAGAGGCAGAATCCAGCATCCAAGATGATGTGTTTTGTAATATAAACAGGAAGATGTTTTTAGATAAAACAGGACAATGGATAATGTCCAGAAACATAATATTTATACTAATGTACCATTGTCACATATTTTTAGATCTTATTTTTGGATACCACATTTCTCATTTTTTGCAGATGGTTAGAATCACTACAGCGAAGCAAGTATTAATAATGAAATGTCCTCCATGAACTATTTATTCTCCCATACAATGGCTGCAAATATTTAGGATTGTGCATACACTTCTGCTAGTGGTATGTGTGTGAGCTTCTGCTAGCGCCGTTTGAATGCTCGAATGCACAAATCAGGGTACTTTGGCTCCCGTGACAGTACTCGTCAGTATACCAATCGGTGCACTTCAGAAGTTAAAGGTTAAGAAATATTAGAAGTGAGGTGAATCAGGAGGTATTGATTCTATTCATTAGAATCAGGATATGAGCCGTGAACTGCTCTAGTTTAGAATTAAATGGGTTTTTCTCACATTGGGGTTTATGGCTTGTTTTCAATTCCTGTCATATTAATGCCTTGATGGATGCCATGCCCCATGAAAGGAATAGAACAATAATAGCCCCTTGCTTCACGCCACCCCATTGTCCTTCAAGAGGAGTTTTGAAAGAGATTCCAAGGAGAAATCATAGCAAAAGGGCCTGTACATTGGACTAGGAAATATCCGGGTGTTTGGTACATGGTATTGCTCCAGATCCTTGCATGCTGTGCATATGTTAAGTGCCTCCGATCCGAAGAATCACCTACCTATTCCGAATTACATTGATCACTGCGAATGGTTTTTTAATGTAAACATTGGCCTTTATTGTAATCAATTAAATTCTAGTAATGATTAGCCTGACATTTCAGAATAACCACATTGACTTGGAGTTTGAACAGCTAATACAGTAGTGTTCCTATATTATTCAAATAAATATATGCTAATGGCAAACTGTGACCCATTCTAAGTGTGACTTATTGATAACTAATCATAAACACTTCACGTTCCCACCTCGATTCCATTTTTTACCTTGCTATCTAATCCTGTTTATATGCCCTGAGAATTCATGCTTACCAGTTGGTTAGACAGCAATCTCTGAACCTAATCCCCGAAGGCTAACTAATTTAAGGAGGAAATGGTTACATTACTGAAAGAAATTGGCCATTCTCTATGGTAGTCCCTTATAATACATTTCTGTCTGAGCAGATTGACATAGCAGGGACACTCCAGACTCATGTTTGGGAGGTGCGTGCTTTGAGTCTTGGCTGGGACACCATTATTCTGTCTGAGGAATTTTGAGTCCTTTCCTCATTCCTTTCAGATCATTGCCAGGATAGTACCTCATATTAGCATCCTTTCACTTCCATTTCAGTCATCCTACTGTTCAGTGCTAGATTATCAGTAAAAGAAACATGCAACTTGTGAACTGGGATTTATAAAATGACACTTGTAGGTATATTATTTTACTTGAATGGTCTTGGTAGAAAGGTGAGTGTGGTTTCTGAGAAGCTACTGTGATATTTGTACACATTGAAAAGGAAAATCAAAAAAAGGAACTCCTCCGGGCTTTTCAAGTGCATATTCAAATGCAAAATGAAATTCCGTTTGTTTTGTGCTTGTTTCTTTTTAAAAATAAATTTCACATGATGTTTACATTTTCACTTTGGACTTGAGTCAGTTTCCTAAACAAAGGCTCCCACCCCCTAATAAATCTGCCCTAACTTATTTGTGAGTATGCAGTATTTTGAAAGCAAATAAACAATGTGTATGTTACACAGTATGATGTGATTGCATTACAAAAGGTTATCAACTCTGTCCACTGTGATTATCAATCGCACTGGACGGAGTTGATTGTCTTTTGTCATACTGCTAGTGTGACAGACCAGGATGAACCAAATAAAAAATTATGTGTGTGTGTATGTACAGGGTCCAGCAGGGGAACCTGACGTTTTTAAGTTGGCACTAGATCGGGTGATGGTGGTGCGGGAAGAGAGGACTCACAGCTCAGAGTACACCATTTCAGTAGACATGGAACAGTGGACCGCAGAACACCATGTTTTTGTCATTGAGACGTAATTTACAACTGATGACTCTGTTACCCTGACTCAGCGATGTTTCCATCTGCTCCTTAATGTTGATCATCAGGGTAAAGTTCCCAGTAGGAACATGATTTTGTTGTGGATTGCAAACTTCAGATCAGATGAATCAGCATCAAAGAAGAAACCGCCTGGTGCCGCACACACTGTCTGACACCTGAGAATGTTGAGACTGTTACACGGGCAGTAGTGACTAGTCCCCGTTCTGCAACAAAGCATGCCATTGCATTAGGCATTTCAGATCAGAGTGTGAGATGAATATTTGACCTAGGTTTGCATTATCATCCATACAAGATGATGGTTGTGCAAGAGTTTCTAGCAGTTACACACATAAAATGTTATGTATTTTATGTATTATGGTAAAATAAGTAAAAGAAATAAAAATTGACTCCATTATACTAATTTAAAAACCATCAGGTTTCCCTGCCTGACCCTGTATATACATATGTGAAAAATATTGTTATTAATAAAAGTCTTAATAAATGGATTATTCAGATTTAGCATGTCAGACATTTTCAGTCTTTCCCTTCTCCTTTACGTTACTGGCCTCAGGACATATCATTCTCCTTCGAGAAGTTTAACGTGCCATCAGAACTAGAGCGCTGTGCATCTCCTGGACTGAGCTGCAGTTTGAATTTTATGTCATTCAATTTGGGTTGTGACATTGGTTTGCCAGTTAGTGAAAATGTTGTGAGCAGTACTGTAAATTAAACTAGAAGTGCCGAACTTCACTTCTTGATTTCAACCTCAGCAAAGTTTTCATCAAATTCTGTGTCCCTGAAAATTGAATATTGTTCCAATACATTAAAATATTTGTAATTGTTTTGTTAAAATTTTATTGGAATTTATAAAGCAAGTAGGTTTGTGTCGTCTTTCTTATTATTTCTCTTGACGGGGGCCAAACGTGTGCCGCCTTGCTGTTCTAAAGAAGAGGGTTCTTTGATGTTTTTCTGTATGTGTTTGTGGCATGCTGTGTTGCCTTTATTTCACTGTCATTGATTTCTTGTATTGTTTCTGACATATCTGTGGTCTTTTCCAACTAGTTACAGACTGCAACAGAAAACTGAAAGTTACGAGAATGCACGTGACGTCAGTTTTTTGCACCTTCAACTCATTTGAGTCATTAAATGTTTCTTGTAATATTGGACTACAGAAATTACCATCCCTGTCAAGTTTGTTCACCAAAGAACAAAGATAGCAGAGCTATCCATCACATGTACAGTAGTGTCTGAGCAGGTTCCTCAACATGTAATTCTAGGAATCCGGGGAATTGAGTGCCTGGAGTTTAGGTTATATTCTAGCTGGGAATTTCACAAAGACAATTATTCTTAAAATATAAATTAAATTACACTTGCATGATTTCAGTCCTTAACACTTTTCAGTGTCACTGCAAATAATGTGCCACAATACTGGTGCTGTAGAATGCACTAACAGACACTTTTTCTACTGGGGTTTTGAACTATGTCTTTCATCCCGTATTCTAGAAACTATAAAACACAACATTTCAGAAACTGGACCTGTTTCCCTCAGGTGAGGGGGCAGACACCTCTGTTGAGTCTATCAAGAAGAGTTAACCTCAATTATTAGGCAGATGGGCTGTTTAGCTCTTTCTAGGGGGCCCAACTGAGTAGGTGTCTTTCCCCCCCCTCACCTGAGGTCGGGAAACAGATCCAATTTCCGAAACGAGTTTCTTAGTTTCTGGAATACAGGACCATAGATGAGATCCCAAAACCCAGTAATTCTGAGTATTATACACCATCGTCAGAACCCTTTAGAATCAATTTTTTCTACAAATTATTCGGTTTTGCACTGGTTAGTAATTATTCCTAGAAAATTATAAAGTTTTGATTAATTTCGACTGCTAAATGGAAACAATAGTAACTACCGCAATTGTTCACAGATGGCAATAGCGTTCGTGTTTACAGAAACGATATCTATGTTGCTCGATCTATTGGATATCGAAAGTCATTTTTGGCGGCGTGATAATCTGATCAGGGTGTCAGTGTTAAACGAAGTTGTGTTTGCAGGAAATATATTTAAGAGTTACGAATATTGTGCAACTGCAGCAGCAAAACAAGGATTGTGTCCTCAGGCAAAGCTTGGGTCAATGTGTTGCGACGTAATACTACACAGACGGCAGGTAGCAGCATACCGGTAAGGAAACTAACCAATACGGTTTACATTTGTCCAGTGTACATAGATTATTCTGCAATATCATATTGACCGCAAGTTATGTAGCATCAGAAGAGGGAATACGTGTGAATTGGAGAATATTGGGGAGTGTATTACTTTAAATGAAGCTTAGGACGTGTATACCTGGTTTTAATAGGGTTTTATACCTAATTCATTGTAGTTAAGGTTAGTGGCATGGCAGCATTGTGCTGTTATCAGCGGTAAGAGGAATTGACGCCTTGAGTTATTTGACGTCACAGTTCGCACAGATGCAAGGTAGGGAGCGAACAGCTACAGGGATGGACAAAATAATGGAAACTGCATAAACTGTACACGTGTCTCTACTAATATTGTGTTGGATCACCTTTGCCATGAATAGAGTCCATCCCATTTATTTGTAACATAATACTGCATTTCGAAATTCATTCCACCTCTTTTCTTTTCCAGAATAAATACTGGATACTTGTAATGTCTCTTGAAAGGTATATAGGGATTTCACATGGAATACTGGTTAAAGAGGCATGTAAGCAAACGGGAAAAATCACAATTTTTTTTCTTCGTGATGAAATGTACGTTCTCTGACAAGGTGGAAATTTTAGTCAGTGACAAAACAATTAAAATTATTTGTAGGTTGAAAGTAGACATTTCAGCTTCGCACCGAGATGAAACCGCTGTTCTCTCTGAGCAAAACCTGTTAATGGTGAAGTCTTTCTGGATACGACACTGTTTAGTTCGGTGTAAGATTGTCAGCGTTTTGTAGAAAATTGTTTCCATTTTTAGGATATGGAAAAAAATAAACATTAATCATTCACTAAACTACACAGTGCCACATCATAGTGTTATATTCACCGCCGTGAAAACCTCGTCACAATATGGAGGATGCGTATATATGTCACAACCTTTTTGGAGGAACCTTGGCTCAATGATCTAGCAGCTGCTGGTATCTGACGGGAACTTCTTTAACTATATGTGTGGTTCGTACAGGTTGCGGAAGGCTCGTGGGAGTCTATTGTTCCTTACAATGGACTGCGAAGGTTTAATGCTAACTGCAGTTCGATACACAGAGTGACCTCGAAGTACATTTAGATGAAAAATTTTATTCTCAAACAATATGTTTTTCACATACGGGTTCAACATGGCAGAAACGAGTTACTATATGATAGAAGAAATGACATTAAGGGAGGAAGATAGACTTAGGGTGTAGAGGAGAATATTTAGACCAAAGAGAGATAAAGTGACAGGAGGTTGGAGAAAACTGCACAATAAGGAGCTTCATAACTTGTACTATTCTCCGAGTATAATTAGAATGATCAAGTGAAGGAGGATGAGGTGGGTAGGGCATGTAGCACGAATTGGGGAGACGAGGAATGCGTATATGATATTGATGGGGAAGCCAGAAGGAAAGAGACCACTGGGAAGACCAAGGCGTAGGTGGGTGGACAATATTAAAATGGATATTAGAGAGATAGGATGGGATGGTATGGGTTGGATTGGTCTGGCTCAGGATAGGGACCAGTGGAGGGCTCTTGTGAACACGGTAATGAACCTTCGGGTTCCATAAAGATGCTGGGAAACTCTTGAGTAGCTGCAGAATTGGCGGCTCCTCCAGAAGGGCTCAGCTCCACGAGTAAGTAAGTAAGAAGAAATTTATTTCCTGTGTTTTGGTTCATGATTATGTTGACATAAGGATATACTTTTCTGATACGGATGCCGCTACACATGATGCTGCTTGTAAGGCTCCCGTAAGGCGCCCTCCCTCCAGTCAGGGAAGGAGGAACACATTTCTCAGACGAATGTGCAGTTTGTCACGATAAGCGAGCCAAGGAAGTTTATTCTTGGTGCAAGGACAATCCGTATTATTATGAATAAACTGCACAGCCCCCACCTCGTGTCAGTGCTTCAACAGGTCACTTAATTGCACCTGTTTACGGAAGTGTTAATCACACAGCGCACTTGATTACGCTTCAGAAATGATTCGTTTTGAAACTGCCTGAGGGTGGTCCGAAATCACCGAGCACCCTGTAGCAAGAAGGTGCACCGGGTGATTAGGTTCTCTCAGTAGCACATTCAGTGGATGGTGATGTGATCTGGCATGGGAAACTCAGAGTCTAGACTTTACATCACGCGATAATTCACTTTGCGGTATTTTCAAACAGAAGATTCTTAATCTGCAGCTAGCAAAAATATTTAAGATACAGAAACATCAGAAATTACCTTCATGACATTCAGCCTTGAATGAAGGAGAAAATGTCGAAATGAACATGGGAAAGGATCACACTGTTACTTGTATTGGTGACTATAGACGGGGTATTTATTGGTGAATAGATTTATTGAGCATTCATAGGTCGTAACTATAAATAGGTGTTAGACTATTGCTCATTTCCACACTACAAATCACTCCACACTAAGTCCTCTAGTTTGCTTTCAGTAGTCGTTGGTTGGTAACAACTCTCAACAATGGCTATTCATCTGCAGACGTATCCAGGTAACGAATCTTACCGATGGAGATTCTTCAGCATCCGTTACCCGCTGGTTAACGCTCCACACCTGAACATTCAACTCAACTACTGAACTGAACTCCCACTATTGCTCACTTCTCGTTATATAGACTGGGGTCGGCCCTCACGGAAAATACGTTTTACTTTTCAGAATGCGTGTTTATCGTACCGTTGCCTAGCACTGGGCATGGCGCGGATCATATAGAAAACTTTTCCTCTAATACGTTTTCTATTGTCGCGTGCGCGTATTTCGGCTGTTGTCTAGAAATGGGTCTGCATATCACAACACAATGCTCGGAGTTCGGAGGGCACGCTGGGATATGCCATACTTCCATACTTTATTAATACAATAAATTTTATTGTACTTTTATAATTATTTGTCATTTAATTGTAAATTGATTAGGCAGATCAACAGATAGTAACTTCTTTTATAGATATAAAAATGCTTTTTGTTGGAGCCAGATTAGTCTGTTAGAAGGAAACTCTCATAAAACGACTGTCTGCTTGTTACTCTGTGACGTTAGAGCACGGATATCTGGCTTGCAATTTCTGTCTTCAATATACGGCCTTCATTTTACGTAGAAATTAGTTTCTGTATTAACCGAAAATCTATCTAAGACGGAAAATATATACAAGGTCCTTGGGATTCCGTTGAAGCCAAGTTTTACTCAAATTACGAACATGCGTGCAGACAATACTTCTCTCTGTTATACGTTTTGGCCCCAGGAGTTATTATTATTATTATTTCTTTTTTAGATGCAGCTGTTTACAACGGCCCTATTAATGATGTAAAATTTGAAACAAGTCTTGAAAGAAGAGGATTTGGGGGTTTGTGCAGCCGTGCTCAGTATCACTTTGGGTACGCTGTTGGTGGTGTAGCTTCTCACAGGCAGTTCCTCGTTCGTGAGACATCCGCTGTACAGAGAATTTTCTGTAACTCATTCAGACCCAAGATATTCGGAAGAAGCCGTGTCTTCTTTTTCTTCTTCACGACTTTTCGTTCATTTCCCATCTGTTTTCATCACCCTTATCTACTTTCTCCTTCTGTTCCTGCGCCTTCTTCCCTTTCAGTGCCCCGGCGCACACAATTATGCATTCAGGGTCTGGAACAGTTAACATGCTTATTCTTTCCCATCTCTTTCCCTACTGTGGCTCTACAGCCCTTCGTTGGTCCTTGGCCGCTTTCTCGGTTTCTTAATCTATAGACAGTCAGCAGGACTCCTTGGGCAAGGGATCAGCTCGTCGCAAGACCTCTACCTACACACAGGACAAACGCACACAGACGTCCATGCCTCGAGTGGGATTCGAACCAGTGACCCCAATGTTTGAATGGGCGAAGACAGTTCATGCTTTACATTGCGCGGCTACTGTGATCGGCTTCCCTACTCTTTATTCAACTGAACTATTTGGTTACCATTCGTAACTAAGTCAGTTGATATAGCTTCTCTAATTCAACACTGGAGAGAAGCAATCGGAGTAGTGGGTTCACTGCCCATTCTTCTCGCTCCGCTACCTGCAGCCCCCCCCCCCCCCCCCCCCCCCCCCCCCCCCCCCCCCCCCCCCCCACGCCGCCCTGTCACTCCCCTCCTGTA